GTAACCTGCTGGGGTACCCACTGGAGGGTAGCCTTGTCTGTTTTTCTTAACTGTAGCCTTGATGAAGAGGACGTCTTTCTAACCCCTGAAATGTGTTGACTCTTTTTTTTTAGTACAAACTTATAAATGAATTTGGACTCTTTTATCTTTTGGTCTGGTGCTCCTTCCATTTGTGCATGCTTCTTTCCAGCAACCTGTTGGGGTACCCACTGGAGGGTAGCTTTGTCTGTTGTGAGCAGCCTAATATGAGCCAGTGAACTCTTCAAATATTTTTGCCCTCTCACTACATTGTATAAAGTTAAAATCCCAGTGCCTCTTGGATGCTTTTCTATTCATTTCAGCCATAAAAACCCGACAGGGTGTTTAATCCTTTCCACTCCAAGTAAGTTTCTGGCTGGACATGCAACTTACAGGGGCGGACTGACCATCTGAGAAACTGGTAATGAGCAAGCGCTTGGTTGAACAATAGCAGCTAGCATTCAGGACAGGGGCGGACTGACCATTTGAAAACTTGGGCACTGCCCGAGGGCCCGGGGTCTCTAGGGGACCCCATGAAATGCCCAGGTCCCCCCACCCCCACAGTGCTGCCGGCTACCCTCCTTTCCTTCCCTCTGGCAGCTGCAGGCACTAAGGCAATAGGATCCTTCTGGATGGAGAGTGGGGTAAGGTTGCAGTAAATATGTCACATTTACCAGCCCCTTCCTTTCCTGAATGAACACAATGAGTGATCAGTACTGATCACTCACTGTGTTCATTCATAACTGAAGTATAGTAAACTATGTTTGTTTGTTTTTTTAGTGGGGGGGTGTCAAGTTGACTGTATGTGGGCCCATGGTTTCTAACAGCAGCCCTGTGACAGACCATTTAAAATAAATGAGCTGCTAATGTTAAGGCGTGACACAATGGGGTTGATTTACTAAAGGCAAATAAGCTGTGCACTTGCTCTAGATTTGAGGGGAACATGCAAGGAAATTTAAAAAACAGCATGTATGCTTGCACATGATTGGATGAAAGAAATCAGCAGAGCTTCGCCTCATTTCAGAGCTTCCCCTCGAATTTAAAGCAACTGCACTTGCAGTGCACGGTATAATTACCTTTAGTAAATCAACCCAAATGTGCGTTGATGCATATGCAGTAATGTAGCACAGACAGGGGTGGACTGACCATTTGGAAACTCGGGCACTGCCCAAGGGCCCGGGGTCTCTAGGGGACCCCATGAAATGCCCCTGGTACCTTTTATAGGCTTTTTTGGGTGTGCTTTGAATGTTGGCAAGGACACAGGGGCCCCATGATCCCCTATTGCCCGGGGGCCCCATGAGTTGTCAGTTCGCCCCTGGCACCTTATGTAATTATTTCAGCCTTCATGATTAACTGGTCAACTATTTATATTAACAAGTAGCTGTGCTGAATGATGCAGACAATGAGTGTGTTTCGTAACATAGGAAAAAAAAATAGGAAACATAAATGGAAATTGTTATATATTGAAATTGTGACAATGTTTTTACTCAGATTCCCTTGTGCGTAGTGAAGGGCTTTATTTAAACAAAGGTTTGTTTTCTGCTATTTTCTGCCATATTCTCCCTGACATCCTCCACATTATCCTATAGTGCTAATTGTCAACTATTTACTCCGGAATAATAGGCAGAAATTATGGCGGAACAACAGAATATCAGAAGGGATAGTCAGTTCTCCTTTGAGAAAAGAGAATGCATATTAAAGAAAAAGGTAAGAGCGTAATTTTGTGATGATTTCCTTTCCTGGAAAACTTCACATGTAATCAAAGGCAAACAAATGCAAATAGCCATAAAATATCCTGTGAAAACACGAGGAACAAAGTAAAGTAAAGAGCCGGGTTTTCAGACTTTCTTTCTTGTCTAGTCTACGGATCTCATGACTGCTGGTATGGGAGCTGAACCAGACTGTGCTGAGCGGAAAAACTATCAAGAAAATTCCCCTTGTAAATATTTTCCTTTTGTTTTATCATGTTCTGGACTAAAGGTAAAAATATAACTCATATTTGTTTCCATTTTATTTAAATAGGCAATATTGCATAATAATATTTTATACTTATTTTCAATCAGGAGGTGGTCTCTAGGATTCTTTTTATATGTGCCATACTTAAAAGGTAACACCACATTCATAAAAAAAAATAGAAAATTAAAAAAAAAAAATAATAATATAACATAAAATTGCTACACAAGCCAAATTGTAATTTAATATCATTAAAAATTACATTTTAATTAGCAGCCACTGTAATTTTTTGCAAAATTCAATTCAATATGGAAACCTGGAGGTGTTCTTTTACTTTGTTGTTGTACAGAACTCATCCAGAAATATCCTTTCCTGTCCATGTTCTTTGTGATTAGCTCACTGATTTTCCCAGAAGCCACCACTAAAGCTGGGTACACACTATCAGAAAGTCGGGTGAACGATCGTTTGGTTTTCCTCAATGTTTCACAGCAAGTCGAACCCGAGGATGGTACTAATTGTATGAAAATTCTCAAATGACAAAGGCTTTTTTTTTTTCGTTTGATGTAGAAACGTTGTAGTCCAGATTACTGCTGGTTATTGTTTCTGATCATGTGCAATCTTTCGCATCCAATTTTTCTTGTACAAAAACAGTGCACATTAAAGAAAATAGTTCTGTTCACGTACAAGAAAAATTTAGCAGTCTGTCCCTTCGGAAATTTTCATTTGGAAATTCTGAATCGGATGTCGAAAGTTGTGTACACATATTATGAAAGTTGAACAATGTTCCTTGTATGGAATTTTTTCTTCTGATTTTCTCATAGTGTGTACCCCACTTAAAATATTAGTTACATTTAACCCCCCTGGTGGTATTCCCGAGTGTAGCTCGGGGTAATGTTTCAGTACCAGAAGTGGTAACCCCGAGCTACACTCGGAATACACTGCAGCGTTGCTCCGGGATCTCTTCTGCACTTACCTTGTCCTTCGCTCCCGCGATGTTCCCCCTGCAGCGTCCCCGGCCATGTCCTCCAGCCGATGCCAGGCATCCGTCTTCCAGGTTCCGTTCCCTGCAAGCGTCGGGACATACGGGACGTACGGGGGATGGAACCGGCGGGACTTTCAAAAATGTAAAAATTTGACATTCACTCAATACACTAAAATCTGATAGAATTACATTACTGTACCAAACCATTTCACATATATTTTGTCCCGAGTGCTTTGTCCGGCGCCCTGCCTGCATTTTTACTGTTCTTTCTGCCTGGAAACTGAGAAATGCCCATGGAGTCCAAAAAGCGTCCCTTTAGGTCAAAATCGGTTTTAGACCGGCTGGAGAACAGCGATAGTAAATCAGAACCACTTGCAGAATTGAGTGATAATGATTCGTGGGGGAAATTCGTCATCAGACACTGAAAACGATTTTGCGACTTTGCTCAGTGATGTGTGAACTTGGCGCTATATTTCAGTGTTTTTGGTTTGATTATATTATTGAATTACATTTATTATTATTATTATATTATTATTTTTTATGATTCTTTATTATATTATAATTTATGATTTCGTGTTTCAAATTTATCATTACATTACATTACATTACATTGAGTTTATTTAGCGCCAAAGGGTTTGCTCAGCGCGCTGTACAATAGAGGGGGGGGGACAATACATGAAACATTACAGCAGCTACGAACAGCACACGAGGGGTAAGAGGGCCCTACTCTTTCGAGCTTACAATTGGGAGGGAGGGGGGTAGTGGTACATACCCGGGATGTTTACTACACTCTTGTTCGGACGGATTTCAGTGAGTTATTCCTAAGAATTACAAGCCTACAATAAAAAAACAACATATTTCCATTGAAAACAATGTACCACTTTGAGCACAGAAATACTGACATAATCATACTGCTAGGGAGGTTAATGCACCCCCTTCAATTGGAATTTCAGTTTTTGTAAGATACTCCTTAAGGGTTAGATACCTCTAAAAGGATAAAGACACTGCAACATTTCTCATCAAAACACTGAATGTGCACCAGGTGATAATGAACCAGACCTTTCCATTCAGAATCACTCTGCAAAAGATAGGGGCAAACAAATAGATATTTCTTCGTAGCCAGGGGCGTATTTATCACAAAGCAAACAAGGCACTTGCCTAGGGCGGCATTTTTCAGCACCTCCACCTAAAAGAAGGCATGGAAGAAGGGACACACACAGCATGGGGACCAGGTGGGATCCGAGAGAGGCTGCGGGCTGCTTGATGGTGTATGCAGAGCTTGACTCTCATTCCCGGTGATGTCTGGAGGTGTGAATACGAGTGTCTTTCTCTCTATCACCGGGGGGGGGGGTAGTAGAAGGCTTTCCCGGGTGGGGGGGGCATGGGTGATGTTGGTCGATGTCAGGCTCTCTCCATGGGTGGGGGAAGGGATTGGCCCATGTCCATGGGGGCAGATGATTTTTGTGTTGCCTAGGGCAGCACAAAACCTAAATACACCACTGTTCGTAGCAGAAGCAGGTAGGAATTTTCAAGAAAGTTTGTTAAAATCCCAGCATTGTGCATTGATCACCCGGAGAGGGTTGGTTTTTCCTAAAGAATGTGGAGTTATACTTCAAATGCTTTAACACTTAAGGCTTGTTTGATGGAGTTTAGTAGCTCAAGCTCACTTTTATATGCACAGTTGACTCAAATCAGCGACTCACCTGCTCTCTCCCCTCCTCCCTGCTTGGTCTAGACAGACCAGGCTGTATAAAGCTTCATTTGGAGAGAGAGTCTGCGAGCAAACAGGTACTGCTGATCTCTCACTTTATAAAACCCATAAAAAAAAAAAAAAATAGTATAAATGCTGAACTCCAATGGAAAAAAAAACATTTCCCCCCCAATCATGTCTATAGTTTTATTCTAATCTAAAACCCTAATTTTGACTTTTATGTGACTTTCTATGCCGCCTCTTCTAGTAATAGAGACCAGTGATGAGAAGCTAAACTTCCTGCAGCAGATCGGTCTTGTTGCACTCCGAGTGTCATGACATCACCATTACTGTAAGGCTAGAGGACCATTTGATGGACACTCTTGACAGCCAATTGGCAGTGTATAATTCACCAGAAAGCAACATGGCCTCAGCAAAAAGTACCGTATTTTTCGCTCCATAAGACGCACCTGACCATAAGACGCACCTAGGTTTTAGAGGCAGAAAACAGGAAAAAAAAATTCTGAACTAATGGACTGCAGACACAGTAGGAGATGACAGGAGCGGACATAGACCAGAGACTGCGGACACAGTTCAGGGGATGACCAGAGACTGCGGCCACAGTACAGGAGATGACCAGAGACTGCGGACACAGTACAGGAGATGACCAGAGACTGCGGACACAGTACAGGAGATGACCAGAGACTGCGAACACGGTACAGGAGATGACCAGAGACTGCGGACACAGTACAGGAGATGACCAGAGACTGCGGACACAGTGCAGGGGATGACCAGAGACTGCGGACACAGTACAGGGATGACCAGAGACTGCGGACACAGTACAGGGATGACCAGAGACTGCGGAGAGCACAGGGATGACCAGAGACTGCGGACAGCAAAGGGGATGACCAGAGACTGCGGACAGCACAGGGATGACCAGAGACTGCGGACAGTACAGGAGATGACCAGAGACTGCGGACAGCACAGGGATGACCAGAGACTGCGGACAGCACAGGGATGACCAGAGACTGCGGACAGTACAGGAGATGACCAGAGACTGCGGACAGCACAGGGATGACCAGAGACTGTGGATAGTACAGGGGATGACTGCTGACCTTTGGGGAGGTGGGGAGCTGGTACCTGAATTTGACAGGTACCCGCTCCCACTTCCGCGGAGTTGTTCTTTCATCTTACCTGTTCCTCTATCCAGCCGCGCGCTGTCTTCCCGGCTTCTGTAATGGCGCTCGGCATGACAGCCGGGTGCCCAGTGCGCATGAGCGAGAAGCACTTGCGCTTTGTGAGTGGTCCGGCGGCTTCTGGGATCTGTCATGTGTCCCAGGTGCCGCCTTACCATTCACAAAAAGCACTGCTTCCTGGGCATGCGCACTTGGCACCCGGCTGTCATGCCCACACTACAGAAGCCGGGAAGACCGCGCCGCTGGATAGAGGAACGGGTAAGATGAAAGAACAACTCCACGGAAGTGGGAGCGGGTATCTGTCAAATTCAGGTACCCGCTCCCCCCCCTCCCCAAAGGTCAGCAGTCATCTTTATAAGGTCCCGCTGTAGAGCTGAGCGGCCGGCCCGGTATTCTGACGCGGAGGTAGAAATACCAGACCGGCCGCTCCATATTCGCTCCATAAGACGCTCTGACATTTTCCCCCCTTTTTTGGGGGGAAAAAAGTGCGTCTTATGGTGCGAAAAAAATAAGGTAAGTTTTGCTAGAGGCAGGTGGATTGGAAAAAGCAAATTGTGTATCTTTTTAATTCCCGGAGTTAGGCTTTAAATGTAGATATGTAAAAAAAAATGATTGCAATGGTAAAAATAAAGAGATACAAAGCAATTATCAAACTTTAAAGGAAACTGAACTGAAAGACTGAAGACTTGGTATGTTATAGGAAACATTTAGAAATGTTTATTGTGCCTTAGCAGTACCCAGGAAAATGTACAGTATGTTTTTTCTTAAACTCATCCTGAAAGACAGCACTGCACTTCGTGATATGTGGGGGTGTCTAGGGACCTCTGTATACGTATGTATAGGGGTTAGACAAATTTATTAAAAGTCCTATTTTTTACTTTGTGATGCCTTCCATGTTCACTGTTTAAAAAGCCAGTTATAGACCTGGGTAGGTGACCAGTTTTTTCTTTGTATGTTAATTTTGGAGGTTCAGTGGGTGCATTGGACACCCTGGCTGCCGTTGTGCTACATGCTGGGTGTCAGGTGCGCTCCCATGACCTTAATGAGGGGTGGGCTCCCTCAGGTTCACCTGCCCTTGTTTCTATCCATTTAAATGCATGTGCCTCCATTTGCAGGACTCTCAAGATTTATAGAGTTAGGACCACAGATACTCAGGGTGCCGTGATGTGGCTCTGTGGCTTACGTATGTATTTGCAAATGTGTGCTAACTAAACCCCTGTTTTTAAACGCATGTTCTTAGACAGGTTAATTTGGTTTTTGATAGTTGGCTAACTGGCTGGCAGTTTGAACTGGCTTTCTTATCCCCCTCTTTTGATAAGTTATACTTATCCATGTTCCTTGCCAACAATAGCCATTATTGGGGGTTATGGGGTAGGCTGGCAAGTTGAACTGGATGGTCCTATTTTTTACTTTGTGACGTCTTCCATGTTCTCTGTTCAACCTCCCTAGCGGTATGATTATTTCAGATTTTTGGTGCTGAAAGCGATACCATTATTTTGCATGGAGATATGTAGTTTTTTTATTGCAGGCCTGTAATTTTTAGGAATAACTCACTGAATTCTGTCCGAACAAGAGTCTAGTAAACATCCCGGGTATGATAAAATTTGAAACACAAAATCATAAATTATAATTTAATAAATAATCATAAAAAATAATAATATAATAATAATACATTTAATTCAATAATATAATCAAACCAAAAATACTGAAATTTGAAATAGAGTGCCAAGTTCGCACATCAGTGAGCAAAGTCGCAAAATCGTTTTCAGTGTCTGATGACAAATTTCCCCCACAAATCATTATCACTCAATTCTGCAAGTGGTTCTGATTTACTATCGCTGTTCTCTAGCTGATCTAAATCCACTTTTGACCTAAAGGGACACTTTTTGGACGCCATGGACTTTTCTCAGTTTCCAGGCAGAAAGAACGGTAAAAATGCAGGCAGGGCACAGGACAAAGCACTCGGGACAAAATGTATGTGAAATGGGTTGAAACAGCAATGTTTTACTATGCAAAATTTATTTGGAAAAAAATGAAATTTTTTTAAATTTTCAAATTTCCCCCCCGCCGCCGCCGCCCATACGTCCCGGCGTCACAGGGACCGGAATACAGAAGCTGGATGCCGGCATCGGCCGGAGGAGATGGACGGGGACGCTGCAGGGGACACATTGCGGGAGCGCAGGACAAGGTAAGCTCTGCAGGGACTCCCTATGCAGCGCCGCATGGTAAGCCTGAGTGTAGCTCAGGGTTACCGCTTTTGGTACTGACATTTTACCCCGAGCTACACTCGGGAATACCGCTAGGGAGGTTAAACAGCCAGTTATAGACCTGGGAAGGTGACCATTTTTTTTTCTTTGAAAATTATGAAAAACACCAGATAAAACAACAAAATAGTTACCCAATATGGTGTTGGACTGCCTTTGGCATCCAAGATGGCCTAAATTCTACTGGAATATGACAAATATACAGTAAGTCTTTGAAAACGAGACCGGAGCTTGTTGACCATATCGGCTCTATGATATTGAGACGTCGTCTCTGCATGCTCATCAAACCACAATTTGACAACATCAGCTGTGTGAATCAGAGCATTATCTTCTTGGTAAATTGAGCTGTCTTCCGGAAAGAACGTCTGAACCATGGGGTGGACATAGTTGGCCACATTTAGTACATAGTCACTGACAGAGACTCTACATTTCAAGGTGATGATGGGGCCTGCAGAATACCAAGTTATGGATGCCCAAACCATGAACCACCATGCTCGGAACAGTGTTCACCACACGTATGCCAATCCAGTGGTTGGGAGCAGCAAGAAGCTCGGCGGGGGACCTCAGAAGAGGAGGACCGGGACTGATCTGTGGAAAACCATCACACAGAACAGGTAAGTATGCCATGGGGTTTATTTACTAAAGCTGGTTCACTCAGAATCTCATGCACCTCTGCAAAGAAACCAATCAGCTTCCAGGTTTTATTGCTAAAGCCTAATTCAACAAGCCGAGATTAGAAGCTGATTGGCTACCATGCACAGCTGCGCCAGAGTCTAAGTGGACCAGCTTTAGTAAATCGTCCCCTATGTTTGTTATTTTAATTGAAAAATGAAGGTTTAATGTCACTTTAATGTCCTCCACCCCAACAACAAAAATCACCTTTCCTTCTCTCCCCACTGTTATGCAGCAGGGGAGCAACAGAGGGGGATATTGCTTACCTCCCTCTGAAAATGCTAGTTCCCTGGCGGTTTCTGACTGCCATACTGTTTGACTTAGTACAAGAATGCATATGGGATAAATCAAAGTGCAATCAGTTTGAGTGATTTGACAAAGGCGTAGAGGTGGTTGACTTTGCAATGTGAATGTTCACTTTGGGAATAAGCTGTATGTACTTTGAATACCCAATCATGTGCAGGATAAAAAAAAAAAAAGATTTTTCTTGCACATGACTGGATGATTGAAGTGAACAGTTTCACCATTCACCAACCCAACATTTAATTTGGAAAAGTGAACAGTTTCTACTTTTGTTCACACTTGGTATGTCTGATCCATCAGCACCAGGTCCAAATATTTACATGTACAAAAAAAGAGCAAAGCTGTAAAGGAATACCCTTGTCATAACCAACATAAAATACATTGATGTTGGTTATAACAAGGTTAACCCCTTCATGCCTAAGGGTAAAACAAATCTTAATGCCTAAGCACAATTTTGCAATGTTGACATGTGTTAGTAAAACCGTACATATCATCACAACTACTTTGTACATCCGGGTGGATTATACCTTGTTTTTTCAGGACAAATTGGGCTTTCATTTGGTGTTAAATGGTAATGGATATCTCCTGATTTTTTTTTTATTAAAGGAAAACTGGCCCAGAATAGTAAAAAAAAAAATAATTTTTTTTAATTTAACTGTGTGTTTCTTGTTACTACCATAACCTACCACCAAAGAACAACCCAAAATACATTCTCCAGCTCTTGACGATTGCAGCGACACCATATATGTGTATGTTATTTGGTGTTTGTACCCATAGTACAGCCCAGAAACAATTGTGCACATTTTTTTTTTTTTACCTAAAACACACTGACACACTGATACCAATTTAAATAAAAAAAATCCTGACTATTAACCCTGACCTTTTGACCTTGACTTTTGACCCTGAACTTGACCCAAACACTAACCCTGGCACTGAACTAGATCAAACCTTGATCTAGGTATTTTTTCTTTATTTTTTTCTTTTCTTTTTTAATATTTATTTATTTTTTTATTTTTTTAAACAAACATTTTGTTTTTCCTCTCTATGCAGGAGTTAGAGAGATATAATGTATCTTTCTCCTCTATTCATAGAGAGGAAAAAAAAAAACAAGGGGTCCGGTCTGTACAGTGACTGATCACTGTGATAGCCAATCAGTGGCAATCACAGCAATCATGTGACCCGGAATCAGGAGTCCCAGGTTCCGATCGTTAGTGACACCCTGGTCTTTGTGCTGAGAGCGCGCTGTGTGTGCGGCCCCACAGAAAAAAGGCCAGTTCTGTGAGGCCGCATATTTGTGTGACGTCGGCGTCAAGGAGTCAATCTGTGTTGTCAGACTTTGATGTCTAAGAAAAAGAATTACTATTTAAATATACTGTATTTCATGATCCCTTCTCTATTTGCAGTTCTTTCCCCTCCTTTGAACCCCTGAAGAAGCCAATTCGGCAAAACGTGTTGGAGTTTACCATCTTCTCATCTTCCTAAATTCATGCTTACTACTTATACTTACCTTTTGGCCATGGCTCGTCAGTGTTACAAGAGGGAAGGTGTGAAATGGGGTTCACTGTACTGAAGGATTCATGTTCTTACCTGTTTTTATGGGAGTATATGTTCTATTTCACTATGTGTAAT